TTAAGGCCGAAAATGCATCAAAATCACGTATTTTCACAATTCCGGAACCGGATCTCAGTCATGCATGGATAGATTTTGTTCAGATTTAGTACAATGTGTTGTACATATGCAGGTGCATTTCGGTCATGATCTGCTTTGAATGTATATGTCACTCAAATATGAACGGAACGGGGACGTGTCATTGACAATGACTTGTTAATATTATGTTTTTCATATTTAATAAGAACATCTAATCCTGAAAATAAAATTACTAAAAATAATGATTACCAAATGCTTACCTGCTTCTGACATTGGTATAACTAGGGCTATCTGAGCCAGCTAGGACAATGTTGGACAATTTTCCTTCATATCTGAAGACACCATCATCTTTAAAGTAGCTTCAAATGTGGAACTCCTTCTGTTTTGATAAAGTGTTGGTATAATGACCTTGTACTCTCTCACTGCATCTTCCTCTTCCATCATTTATAATTAAGATTGAGAGTCTTGCCTCAAGTTGGTCTTATCCATGCAAGTCCAAAATCTCACATAATTTTGAATCAACAGGAATAGTTGTTGGGTCAAAGATGGCAAATGACTCCAGCAATTCAATATCTGGAAATCTTGTTTTTACATTGTAACTCAACACTAACTCTTGATTCACCATCTTGAACATGTTTGCAGTAAAGGATCATTTGTTTTAATACAGCAACATCGGTAGTTTCATCCACAAGCAAAGATATATATTCTGAGTTTCCAACCCATTCATATATGTCCTGTCTTATAACTTCTCCAATGATCAGTACCATTTCCTGCATAGTTCTTTTGGTTGGGTAGTTGTAGTTTCTTTCGTCATTTTGCAGCACATCCAGATAGCTACAGCCTAAAGATTTTGTCAACTCAAGAACTTGAATATAGTTGGTGGTGTGAAGCAGTTCTCTCTTCATCAAAAAATAAATACAACGCAAAAAACATAAAAAATCAATACTAATTAAATAAATAATACATCAATTATTTCACTTATTCGAACATGTTTATAAAAAAATTACAGCAACAATAACATTGAGCTATATAGTGTCGTTCGTCTGTAACATACAATGGCAATGGCATTTGTTGATGATTTCTCATGTTTGATTTTATCTTCATGGTACGATGTACACGGCTCACTTAACCATACACTATATATATATATATATATATATATATAGAACCATTTTTAGGGTGCTGTTTATACGAAATGCATAATTGACAGAACATACCTGTAAATACAGACAAAATCGTAACATTTTTAAACCCGAAAACCTTATTCAACATTGAAAGGCCAGGATGACTCCATTTTTAAAGGCCCGTCACAAGACACATGTACGGTAACCCATCTGTTGATTCGGTTATATCGATCACGTGAAAACACAAACACAATTTGTTATCAGTGTGGACCACTCGTAATTTATGATGATCTGGAAAAAAAACGTTAAAATAGCGATCAATTATGAGGCTTCATGTTTGGTAACACGGCAATATTTCAGTATGGAATTCATGATGCACACGCTGTATGAAACAGTATAAGATTAACTGACAATCCCAATGTTTGGGCTTAAATGTTCTTCAAATTGATGTTTGTGAGTTCATTTTCATTCGGATGTGAAATGTCTGCCAGCTGGCTAGTACACGTCCTGGGTACACGCTATTGTTTCACCTCTATACTTAGCATGTAGTGATCGGTTATTCTTTGCCTTTCGCCCATAATACCTCCCACCTGGACCCTGGTAGTAAGACACGCGTGTAACGCATAAGCATGTCAGAGACCATGCAGTAGTAGTCTCCACAGGAAATCAACAATACTCGTCTACACAAACTACCAAGACAATAAATTTGAATGCGAGGCAGGAAGTGTGAATGTAGGACGCTTGTTGACCCATTCAGGGCTCACGACTTCCTATGCAGGGCGCTGCGTCCTGCTAAAACCCCTTGTGGAGAACACTGTAAATTGTATATCATACATGTACTCTTCAAATATGATTTGTTTGACTGTATTATTATTTTCTTAGTTCAAGTGGATATATGCATGTGATAAGTGCTTAATCACATATTTAGATATAAGCAGATATAATTATCTAATCCTAGTTAATTACTGTAAAATACTTTATTTTAGCTTTACTTTAATTTTCACTGAAAAGTCTTCGGTGTTTTGTATGGAATATTTTTTCACAATCTGATTAAAATCTGATGTAGTGTACAGGCTTTAATTATTTTGGCTATAAACTTATTTTAATTTTATTTTGTATTACTTTTGTTATTAATGCATTTTTATTTTATTATTTTACTTTGATTTTGATTTTGTGATGTTTTTTAATTCCGCCCTATATACATCTGACCCGATGCCAATGTAACGAGATTTCAACGAAACCCACTATCGACGATTTTAGTCAACGAATCACAGACCTCCTTCTATAGAGCACATGATGACGTCATCGGGCAAAGTCAGGTGGCAAACACACTCAAATAAAATTGCGGATTATACCGACATTAGCGACCGGGAACAACGCGGCTTTTCGGTATGTTTATCATTGTCAAATGTAACGAAAGTCATTTTTTATGTTTATATTGTGGCTCGAATGGTTTGAGTTTAGATCGTTATTTTGCGTAGTTATTCTGGGAGTGATGATTTTGTTTCCACCGGTTCGACCGAACACTGGTATCTTTTTCCAGTCGCTTGCCCTGGAGACGGGTGATGTTTTGTTGACGATCTGGCCAAAATCGTCTACGGTATTGAAGCCGTATCAATATTTTGTACATTTTACAATAACTCTTTATTAAAGTAATTGAGCTGATTTGAACTGGCATAAAATATTTTTTGTTTGGAACACATCGCAATTGATCAGGAAATATTTTTTTTGCTCCAATATTCTGTGTCCAGTTGAGGCCAGGCAATATTATACAATTTAAAATCAGTTTGCATGGTTTACTATAGCTGTTTACAGTGTTCTAATCATTAATTTTTACTTATTTTTTGCTTCCATCCTAGATAATTATGTTCAGTGTTTGATTTAAAATTGAAGCAATGACTGAAACTAAATAAACGAACCTTCGCTGGTACCAGGAAGTGTACACATTTGTTGGAAGTGAAGAAAATATTCAATGTAATGACAAAAATTGTAAAATGCTGTGGAATTTCTTTTGTAAATAAAATATACTAGTAATTTTCTATTAATGGTTTATTCAAGTGGGCAAAATATAATGTACAGAAAGATTGCCCGTAGAGTATCACTACACTGAAAAGTAAGCAACCGACAGCCTGTATAAAAGGGGGGCTGTGATTGGCTGTTACTTGCGCGAGATTAGAACGGGACTTACATAGGCGTCGGATCAGATCCTTGTTGGCTTTCGCAATTACCAACACTTCAAAAAATAAATACTAGATCAAAATAAAATAAAATAAATATACAAAAAATAAGCCAAAACTAGGATCTTATTTCAATCAGATTGATTTTTTCACTGTGAAATAATAGAAAAATTGTTATATTTGCTGGATTTTATTTTCACTGAATTGAGTGAGCTGACTTTTTAGTCCCCATTCGAACGAAGTCAGAAAACTGGGACTATCAATGTGGGTTTGTTCCGTCCGTCCGTCCGTCCAGAGCTTATATCTCGGACACCCATTGACGGATTTCATTAAAACTTTACATGTTTCTCGGAGATGACCGGGCCGATTTGGATCAAAGTTGGTATGATTTTTATGGTACCCATGCTACTTTTAAATTATCTTGAATGCAATGAGCGTTTCTGTTTAAATTTTGCACAAAGATAGTATACCAAGAGATACATCTGCACCAACATGATTTTTGTGATTCGATTCATTATGGCTGACTGACGTCCAAATTTCATGTAAAAGTGCTAAATCGTAATTTTTACATGTCCAGAGTTGTTTCTCAGGAATGACTAGGTCGATTTGGATCAAAGTTGGTATGGTGATCATACATATTGGGTTATAGGTGCACGTCATATTTTTTCTGTGATTCGAACAAATATGGCCAACTGGCGGCCATTTTGTTTTTAATGGTACCTTTGCTACAGTACTTTCCCATGAATGCAATGAACATTTCTGTTTAAATTTTGTACAAAGACAGTATACCAATATAGATACATCAACATGAACATTATTTTTGTAATTTGATTCAATATGACTGCCCAATGTCCAATTCTCGTGTAAAAGCACTAAATCATAATTTTTTACAAATCCATCTCCTATTTCAATCTAATCGCAATGACTTCATCAGCATCAAATTGGTATGTCAGATCACAAAATTTTGAACGGGGACTGTGTCATTAACAATGACTTGTTCACTTTCATGATTTCTCAAAATTTGTGTCTGACATGTTTTTGTTGTTTGTCGTTTTCTCCAATAGTGTTTTCAAAAATGGCTTTGTCACGAAGAAAGTTCATGGAGGAAGGAAAACGACAACTGAGAATGAAGCTGCTGGATATTGAAGAACGAGAAAAACAAATGTACCAATATGTCGCAGATCTTATTAAACCAGTGAGTTGAAATACTGATGGTTGAATTTAATATATACTTTAATGCTATGACGATGATGGATAATTACACATTACATTCCCATGTTCTTACCAGTCATGACATTTGGCTTACATAGTCAGTATGGTAGGCTACCATTTTCAAATCACTATAATCTAGCTGATTTCATTTCAAGAGTGTTTGGTTGTGCAGTGTTTTATGGCAAGCACAGAATTTGTGACTAGCATTTTCCCGTTCAATGCGTAGAGGCTTAATCAGTAAGGAAATAATAGCTGATTATGAAAATGTGTCTCTGGTGGCAGAGGTTTGATTTACCAATAATGACATAAAGCACATGGTCCGATTCAAGATGGTTTAATGGCAACCATTTTTGTGCTAAAAATTCATCAAAATCAAGCATTTCTGCCATTCCAGAACCAGATCTCAGTTGTGCATGAATAGATTTTGTTTAAACTTGTACATTAAACATTATGGGACTTTGATGAACATCATTTTGTTTGTCATATTGGATTCAAAATGGCGGCTCTTGGTCATTTTGTTAGTTCCCGTTTGGACGCAGTCCGAAAACGGTGACTTATGTTTTGACCTCTGTGTGTCCGTGCGTGCGTCTGGATCTGTATCTTAGAAATGCCTGGATCAATCACAATCGAACTTCACACATACATCATACATGATATTATACATGTGCACCTCAATTTGTTTCACAATCTGATTCAAGATGGCCAAATGGCGGCCATTTTTGTGCTAAAAATCATCAAAATCAAGCATTTTTTAGCTGAATTTTGTTCAAAATTGGTATATAAATTAGACATTATGGGATCTTGATGCAAATAATTTTGTTTTTCAGATTAGATTCAAAATGGCCGACTGGTGGCCATTTTGTTTTAATGAATGTGGTTCTCGTGCCATATGTCTCACTTGCTTTGACTGATTATGTTCAAATTTTAAATATTCATTATTATAATACATAATGTCATAGATAGACAGATATATTGGTTTGACTATCCTATACAAAATGGCTGAATGGTGGCCATTTTTGTGCTAAAAATTCATCAAAATCAAGCATTTCCCGGCTGTTTACAGATGGATTTTGTTCAAACCTTGTATATACGTTGGACATTATAGGACCTTGATGGTACATCATTTTGTTTTATGATCTGATTCAAGATAGCCAAATGGCGGCCATTTTTTGTGCTAAAAAATCATAAAAATCAAGCATTTCTTTGTTGTTTACAGATGGATTTTGTTCAAACTTGGTACATACACTAGACATTATGGGTTCCTGATGCACATTATTTTATTTTTCAGATCAGATTCAAAATGGCTGTCTGGCGGCCATTTTGTTTTAATGAATGGGTTTCCAGACCCATATGTCTGACTTGTTTTGACTGATTATGTTCAAATTTTTAATATTCATCATATATCATGTCATAGATATACGGATATATTGGTTTGACAATCCTATTCGAAGTGGCCAAATGGTGGCTATTGTGTGCTAAAAAAATCCCCAAATATCAAGCATTTTTTGCATTTATGGATGGATTTTGTTCAAACTTATAACATACATTAGACATTACAGGTTCCTGATGCACGCTATTTTATTTTTCAGATTGGATTCAAAATGGCTGACTGGTGGCCATTTTGTTTTTTTAATGATTGGGCTTCTGGAGCCATATCTCTGACATGCTTTGACTAATTATATTCAAATTTTATATATTTGTTATACATAATATATATATATATATATATATATATATATTCAAAATGGCTGATTTTGAATGCTGTTCCAGAGTAATATCTCTCAATATGGACAAGTACGATCAGATACAAATGTCAATCATTTTAATGTTAAAAAATCATATTCCTGACATGGTTATATTCCCAGCTATATTACTATAAACAAAACTATCTTAAATTTGATAACTAACTGGGACTATGCCATGCATGGCTTGTTTTAGTGAATGTAGTTTTGGAGCCAAATATGACATTTATCTACTGTTCATATTCAAACTATATATTTCTTAAACTTCAGAACTCACAGGGGTGCAATTAATAATAATGCAATTTTATGATGTAGCTTCACTCTTAGCAAAAATGATGTCTAAGTCTTTTCAGTTTGCTTCAAATGATGTCACAAATGTGGCTTGATTCAATCTATGAGAGTCAACACTATTTGAGAGTTTAGGTATCATATTTTATGTATTTTTTTAACTCTGTAGGCGTCAACTTGTGCAAGAAAGTTACTTTCTGAATCCGACAAAAACAAGTTTTATAGAAATTACAAAGAGGTTAGCTCGTCTGTGACGAAATGTCTGGACACATTATGGATATTATGTGCATCATTACTATCAGATGAAACTGGTAAGTTCTGAAAATCAAACAATATAGCTTTCCCCAAATATCCATTGTGTAGAGTATTAATCTAGAGCTTTTTTTCTTCATATATCAAGAACCAGTTAAACACTAGATACTTTGAAATTAATTACTTTTTTGGGGGGAGAATATTGCTTTTTAGCATGCATCCCAAGGCTTTCACATGCTCTTAATATATCAAGAACCAGTTAAACACTAGATACTTTGAAATTGATTACTATTTTGGGGGAGAATATTGCTTTTTAGCATGCATCCCAAGGCTTTCACATGCTCTTAATTTGTATGGATGTTGTTATGATAAAAAACATTTTATATTAATTCAATGATATGTTGAATGCATTCTTGTTAGAAGAACATATTGACTGAAACGTTCATTTGTTGCGAACTTTATTTACAGCTAAGAATGATATTATTCTTAACTGTTTATTTGGTGAGTAATGTATCCCATGCTCGTTCACCATTAACTATGTAATGTGACGTTACAATGCTAGTTGTCTTAAATCTGAAATTTAAGGATTGTGATCCATATAACCTTGTGGCTGGGAGGCAGTGCTGTGCACTCAAATATAAATCATACATTATGGCCAAACCATCCAATATTAGGCTTGCAAAACTGACTTCCCAGACTGGATGTGTTTTTGGTCCAGACATAAAATGCGCCTATATATAATATACTTATGAATTAATTTTCTTCAGATACTGATGGCAATGGGAATACCAGTAACACTAGCAGTTCAAGCGATACAGATGATGTCCAGTCAGTTAGTACTCCAAGAAAAATTGGAACACGATGTAAAGCTGATTTTAGAAACAAAGTCACAAAATTCTATGATGATGCTTTAGTAGGGAGTATTATGCAGGATTGTAAAGCCGCCAAACATGTAAAAATCGTAAAACCTCGTAATTTGAATTACGTAAAATCTCCCCAAATGAGGAAAGATGAAATATTTGCTGCAGAAGAAAAAGATACGAAGAAGAAATTTAAATCAAATTGTGTTGAAGGCGAGGAGATGCCAAAAACTGGTGAATGTGATTTGAAATCTTCTCAAAAAGAGATAACCTCTGAACGTGATTTGAAATCTTGTCAGGAAGAGAAAGCTTCTGAACATGATTTGAAATCTTGTCTGAAAGAGAAAAGTGGTGAATGTGATTTGAAAACTTGTCTGAAAGAGAAAAATGGTGAATGTGATTTAAAATCTTTTCAAAAAGAGAAAGCGTCTGAACATGATTTGAAAGCTTGTCAAGAAGAGGAAGCTTCTGAAAGTGATTTGAAATCTTGTATGAAAGAGAAAAATGGTGAATGTGATTTGAAATCTTTTCAAAACGAGAAAGCATCTAAACATGATTTGAAAGCTTGTCAAGAAGAGAACCCTTCTAAGATTGTCAGTCCCAAGAGAGAAAAAAAAGAAGATAATGATATGAAGACCAAAGATGGAAAGATAAAACAATCTCCAGCTAGAAGTGTTTATGAAATTTCTGTTAGTAGTCCAGAAGTGTGGAGTACAGATGAATTGATTTTTTGTGATGCAGAAACTCCAGAAAAGTTTAGTCCTAAAAGTCCAAGGATGCAAGTAGAAATAAAATCCAGTCCAGTTTCACAGAAAGGAATGTGGATAGAGAAGAAGCAGGAAATATTATCCTGGCTGGAAAATAGTGATATTGGAAAAAGTACCGACTTATTTCTTACTTACCATAGAGAGGATATCAAAAGTGATTTTCAGGATAATACTAAAGAGTCGACTCGTGTTGACAATCTTAGTATGGCTTCATTGCAAGAAAGAGAGCACCAGGTGCATCCAGCAAAGCCAAAAATTGAATCTGATGAACATACAAAATGTAATAAACCGGTTGCCACAAAGCATAATGAAAACAGATCTGATATTTGCCTTGTAGAAACGAACAGCACAGAATGCACTGGTACTGATAAAGAGTTTCAAAATATGCAGATAACAGTGTTTGATATTCCTTCTGATGAGAAGAAGTGTTGTAATCAAAATGATGAAGTGGTTTCTGATGTTGAGTTGATTGAGAAACAACTTGTGGTAGATGACAAAACTGAAGCTACACCAGACGATGAAAGTGTTTTATTGGATGAAATACATAAATGTGGCACTTCACTAAAGTGTCGCAATAAAAGACAACAGTTCTATGATGCTGCATGTATGATTTCAAAGAAAGTAAAACTTGATGTTCCTAAAACAGAATTTCAAAGTAAAGCAGTGTCTGAAGAAAAGGTGAAAAATGCTTCACCAAGAATACCATCACTCACCTTTCGACATGATATACCTTATACCGAAGTATGTGTCACTGAGGCAACTAATCCATC